ACTACTCTTTGAGAGACAAAGTTTTTTGTGATATCTAGTCTAAACATCCCCAGGCACAACTTGTGGCCATTTCCTCAAGTCCTATCATTAGTTATCTGAGAGAAGAAGCTGACCCCCACCTCATCACAACCTCTCTTCAGGAAGTTGTAGAGTGCAATGAGGTCTCCCCCGAGCCTCCTCTTCGCCAAAGGAAATAATCTCGGTTCCCTCAGCCACTCCTCGTAAGACCTGTGCTCCAGTCCCCTCAACAGTTTGGTTGCCCTTCTCTGGACATGTTCCAGGACCTTGACGTCCTTCTTGTAACAAGGGTCCAAAACTGAACACAGTGCTCGAGGTGTGGCCTCACCAGAGCCGAGTACAGGAGGATGATCACCTCCCTGCTCCTGCTAGCTCCACTATTTTTAATACAGGCCAGGATGCCCTTGGCCTTCTTGGCCACCTGGGCACACGGCTGGCTCATGTTCAGCCGAGCATCCATCAACACTCGCAGGTCCTGTTCCTCTTCACAGTCTTCTAGCCACTCTGCCCCAAGCCTATAGCATTGCATGGAGTTATTGTGGCCAAAGTGCAGGACCCTGCACTTGGCCTTGTTGAACCTCATCCCATTCACATCAACCCAGTAATCCAGCCTATCCAGGTCCTTCTGAAGGGCCACCTACAGATCCTCATGCGGATCGTCACAACTTCCCAACTTGGTGTCATCTGCAGACTTACTGAGGGTACACTCAATCCCCTCATCTAGGTCATCAATAAAGACATGAAACAAGATAGGTCGCAGTACCGACCTCTGGGGGACACCACTTGTAACAGGATGCAAGCCGGACTAACCAAAAATCTTGGTTAAAATCTCTGAGGAGAGACATTATGGGCTGCAGAAGGACAATGGTAGCAGTGTCACAGATAATCATAGAAACATGGGATCATAGAGTCATAGAGTGGTTTGGGTTGGAAGGCATCTTAAAGATCCTCTTATTCCAACCATCCTCCTACTAGACCTGGTTGCAACCTCTCCTTGAACACTTCCAGAGATGGGACATTCACAGCTTTTCCAGGAAACCTGTACGGTGCTCAGAGGCAGTGCTGTACAGTGCTCACCATGCTCAGAGGAAAGAATTTCTTCCATATATCTAATTTAAACCTGCCCTCTTCTAGTTTGAAGTCATTACTCCTTGTCCTATCACTCCACTCCTAGACAAAGACTGTCTCCCCAGCTTTCCTGTAGGTTCTCTCTAAGCACTGGAAGGTTGCTCTAAGGTTTCTCCACTGCTGAGTAGTACCAGTTCTCTCAACGTGCCTTCATAGCAGAAGTGCTCCAGCCCCTTGATCGCCTTTGTGGCTCTTCTCTGGACCTCTTCAAATAATTCCATGTACTCGAACTGCCGTGTTAAACCACAAGTCTTTTTGGTGCTCAGTGTGGGGCACAAAGGATTGAGTTAAGTACAGATCTTACCACAGAGTGCTAAAGTTAAATTGTTATAAGCATTAGACCAGTTTAATAGTTGCTGATCACAAGGTCGACATTTTGGATCTCAGGTCTGTTGGGCTTTCATTCAGAAATGTGTTGTATAGCACATTACTTACTGCCTGTGTTCCCATTGTGCTGTTTATCATTTTTGGGTCTGGTTTAAAGATATTTTGCTATGTTGTGTAACACTACCTTATGGGTCTATAAAATTATTGGTCATGTGACAAATCTGTTCTTTGTACTGAGCATTGCCATCACGTCCATTCCTCAGGAACCGTTACTCAGAAACTTAAGAATTACACGCTTAAACTTTTTGTTTTAGGGAGCCAATCTAGGAGAGGAAAAGGGATGTACACTTCTCCACTTCTTCACCTCCCCTTCTCCTCCAGCCTTATTACACTAGCTCTAAAAAGCTTAGAATATCCATGGGATGGTCCTACTGTGATGTCTCCTGAATGTGTTTCAACTGTTGTTTAAGGATAAACAACTCTTGAAGAATGCCCTCCAGAGACCTGCCCCAAGGCCGGAGAGATAGGAGTGGCAGGGAGCATGGGAGGATCTGGGCAGGCACCTAGAGCAGTGGGCACCTCTGGTGCTTTGGAACTTCCCTCCTGAGCACGTGGAGAATCCTTAAAAACTGCAGAATTGCTTGAAAAGGAGGGGTTATCACCTTGGCAATTCCAAAGGGAATTCCAAAGGGAGCCTCAGTCAGTGTCACTCCAAGCCCTGGGACAGGCCCTGCAGCTACTCCAACACCTCTGACATGTCCCGCAGCCACTCCAGACCCTGGGACAGGCCCCAGACTAGACCAGACCCCCCAGGTCTGCTCTTGCTAGGCCAGAGCACCAACCTGTGCCAGGATCCGTTCCCTCTACATGCACGAGAAAACAGAGGGTGTGAAAATCAGGCCCCTGAGAATGGAAGAGAACAACTGCCCAGAAAAGAAAGGAGGGAGAAGAATGTTGATCTATGAAACCTTGACATAAACTTCCCCACGAGAGGGCACTTCCAAGATCCAAAAGGGTACAGGTGGGGTTTTGGGATAGCTGTCTTCAAGAGAAAGGATGTTAAAGAGCTGTCTACCTTTCCCAGTCCCTGGGAGGACCCTTCCATTTGTGGACTTGATGAATGTCAAAGAAGAGCAGGTGCAGATGGTTACCACAATGTTCTACCAGTTGGGGACAGGCTGGACACCAGTCAGTAATGAGCAATTGCACTGTGCATAGCTTGCTTTGTACATAACAATAATAGTACTAAAAATAATTGCTATTATAATTCTTTCTCTACCATTTCAGTCCTTTCAACTGCGCTGACCTCAAACAATAAGAATTTGGGGGGGATGGTGTGAGCTAACAGCTGTGTGGTGCTGAGCTGCCTGCCAGGTTAAAGCACATCATGTTTGACAACCACAGTCCAATAGCACAAATCACACTTCTAAAAATCTTGTGTTCAGAGAGGAGCAGTAGATGATCAGTTCAGTCTGCCTCAATGAGCACACCCCAGCAGAGACCCTGCTGCCTTGGGGAGCTGTCAGCCCTGAGGCCTTGGGGACACCTCGAGGGAGCCCAAGGGCACAGAGCAAGAGATGCCATGGTCGGGTGCTGTGCTGCTGAGCTGGGCCGGGCTCCTGGGTCCAAGGGGAGATCCTGGCAAGCGCTGCAGAGAGACAGCTGTGCCCAGGAGCAGCTCTTCTGCACAGCGCAGCAGGGCTGGGGGCTCTGACCGCAGCTGGCACGCAGAGAGGAGAGAAGGAGAGAGGGCTTGGAGGCACTGAGGAGTGCAACAACAGAGGGCAGCGTGTGGCAGGACACATCTGCAGGCTCCTGACACCATGAGGCTCTGGCAGCAGGGCCATGCAGGTGGGGTTGCCAGAGGAGTCTTGTACAGCTGGCACATCACATGGCTGATAGCATCTGTCAGGATGGGTCTCTTTGTTTCTCCAGAAAGGAGTAGAAAACGCTTTAGAGAATGGCATTTATGATTGGATTTTTCAACAGTAAGACCAAGGCTGGGGCGATCCGAAAGGCAAGACATTTTCTGTAGCCTGTGCTTGTGTTAGAGTGGAGGCCAGTTTCATGGTAATAGGTGGTCAGACTTCTACTGCAGGCTGAGACTGCTAGAGCATTGCAGTGAGGGATCAATATTTCATCAATGAACTTCATAAAGTCCCTTCCCACACCTCAGCCCACAGACTGCACCAACATCATCATTGTGGTCCTCACATGTTTTATTCTAGCTGATATTAAGGAGCTGCAAACCCTATGATGCCCAGTGCCCTGTCTTTGAGAACTCCCTCCTTGCTTGAGATGAGCACAGATCACCTGTAATGAGCAGGAGCTGCCTCATCTTCAGGCAGAGCTGCAGCACAGGAGGGTCTGCTGAGTGTCCATCTGTCCCTCCCTGGCCTTGCCTCCCCTGGCAGCAGCACGCTGGCATTCCTGCTGGCTTCTCCAGCTGGCTGTGCTGCTGCTGGTCTTGTTCCCAGGCTGGCTGAGGATGGGGGTTTAGATGCCCATGGACTGAGCCCTCGGTGTGCTTGGAGGAAGGGGAGTACGGGGACTGGTTTAGGGGTGTGGAGATGGGCACTTTGAGCCTGGATGTCTCTGCTCTCAGCAGTGTCCTGGTTTGTTTCAGGCAAACATAGGAGTGCAATTGTCCCGTAGGTCAAAGAGACACCAGCACAGGGCAGTTGACACTAGGACTAACAGACAGACTCAATGTGCTCTCTGAAGGACACTGCACTGAAGATATCGCCACTTTGATGACACACAAGGATTTACTTTGAGTACAGTGCGTCTGCTAGCACAAAAGAGAAAAAAGAAAAATCACTACATGATCTTTACCACTTACTTTGGGCAGGACTGACTCCCACATTGCCCACAGCAAGTCCCCTGCTCTCAGTGACACCCTCTAGCAGCACCAGCCAGAACTCACGAAAGGGACCTGCCAAAAGTCTGAATGGAAGTGAAGAATCATTTGGGAGGGATTAAATGAAAAATTGAATGATTTTTCCTCTGAACTGAGAAATGAAGGCATAAAAGACAAATAGATTTTTTTTATTATTATTTTGTAAGATAACTCTGTTAAGATAACTCTGATAAACACTCAGTGTTTTTCTTTTCCTTGGGCAGAACCCCATGCCCAGAAGCAGGAAATGCCCAACAGCAGCTCTGTGAGTGAGTTCCTTCTGCTGGCATTCGCAGACACACGCGAGCTGCAGCTCCTGCACTTCACGCTCTTCCTGGGCATCTACCTGGCTGCCCTCCTGGGCAACGGCCTCATCCTCAGCGCCGTAGCCTGCCACCACCGCCTCCACACCCCCATGTACTTCTTCCTCCTCAACCTCGCCCTCCTCGATGTGGGATCCATCTCCACCACTCTGCCCAAAGCCATGGCCAATGCCCTCTGGGACACCAGGGCCATCTCCTATCAAGGCTGTGCTGCTCAGGTCTTTTTCTTTCTCTTCTTCATATCAGCAGAGTATTATAACCTTACTATCATGGCTTACGACCGCTATGTTGCCATCTGCAAGCCCCTGCACTACGGGAGCCTCCTGGGCAGCAGAGCTTGTGCCCAGATGGCAGCAGCTGCCTGGGGCAGTGGCTTTCTCAATGCTGCTCTGCACACAGACAACACATTTTCCCTGCCCCTCTGTCGAGGCAATGCTGTGGACCAGTTCTTCTGTGAAATCCCCCAGATCCTCAAGCTCTCCTGCTCAAATGCCTACCTCAGGGAAGTTGGGGCAGTTCTGTTTAGTGTTTCTTTAGTCCTTGGTTGTTTTGTTTTCATTGTTTTCTCCTACATGCAGATCTTCAGGGCAGTGCTGAGGATGCCGTCTGAGCAGGCTCGGCACAAAGCCTTTTCCACATGCCTCCCTCACTTGGCTGTGGTCTCCCTGTTTCTTAGCACTGGCATATTTTCCTACCTGAGGCCCCCCTCCATTTCCTCTCCATCCCTGGACCTGGTCGTTGCACTTCTGTACTCAGTGGTGCCGCCAGCAGTGAACCCCCTCATCTACAGCATGAGGAACAAGGATCTCAAGGATGCAGTGAGGAAACTGTTTCCATACATGATTCTTAAGCATCCATTATGCTTTCAGAAGATGTATTCTTAATAATATGCAAATATTTTGATTCACATTATATCATATCATTTTTATCGTTACTAGTGTTATCATAACATTGTCATTAATAAGAATCCCAACAGAAATCAAAGGATATTTGGGAAAATGACACAACATTTTTAAAATTATTTTTCTCTGTTAGTATTTGAACAATATTTCATTTTGGTTTTAATAATCTCATTCTTAGCATTCTGAATGTTACTTCTTGTGTTAGGTTTGACCACATCATCTAATGTACATACAGAACCAGGCTTCCTTGGTAGAGAAAGACAATAAAGATGTTATCAAAAATTCATTGGTCTCAATTTCCTTTTCTTCCCATCTACTCTGGAGCTGGGGGAGCAGCCCCAGCATACAGGAGGGGCTCAGGACCAAGAGCCCAGCTGCCACGGTTAGGAGCAGTGTATTTGGATTAGACCTTGTGGATCTAGGTGACAGTCCTGTTGTCTCTATAGCAAGGCTGGCAAAAAGCCTTTTCCACGTGCCTCCCTCACCTGGCCATGGTGTCTGTCTCCCTCAGGCCTGTCATGGTTGCCTGCCTGAAGCCCCCCTCAGTCTCCTCCCCATCCCTGGACCAGTTGGTGGCAGTTTTGTACTCGGTGCCTCCAGCAAAGCACGTGCCTCTCCTGCTGAGCGCTGCTGGTGGGGTCAGGCCCGGTTGCTCCTCTCACTTGGTGCCAGTGCTGCTGTGGGGCTGCGCTGGGACTGCAGGCAGGAACAGGCAGTGGACATGGCAGTGGCACAGCTGGCCTCCACTGCAGCATTTCCCTCCTAAGGGGGGATCTCCTCCAAGGTGTAATGAGCAGATCTCAAGTGCTCGGTCTGGTGTGAGCAGGCAGAGGAGAGCTCTGCAGCCCCAGGGCACGCAGCAGCCCCAGCAAAGGAGCATGGCGAGTGATTCCTTGCAGCCCTGGGGCAATGGCAGTGACCCCATCAGATGGGTCTGCCTCCCAGCCTGCCCAGCACGGCACTGCAGAGTGCCTCCTTGCCCCTGGCACCACAGCCCCCTCGCTCTGCAGAGCAACACTGCCAGCTGTGGCTGGGGCTGGGGTTCAGGCTGGGGCTGGGAGGGTGCTTCCCCTGAATGTCTGCTAGGCCAGCTTCAGGATCATGGCTTCTGGATACAAACATGATCTTCAGTGTGCACAGGGAGCTGAGAGACCGCCAACAGGCACAGGGCTGGAACATTGCCTGCAAGGTCCCTCCTGCCCTAGCACCTCACAGGACTGGCACGGAACTGGCTCCTGAGTGTCAGAGAGGCTGGGAGCCCAGCAGGCTCGAAGGACAAAAAACAGATCATTTCTAGCTGGGCAGGTCCTAGCCCAAAAAGGGTTTTTTTTTGTAGGTCTGGTATTATGATGGCAGAGATGCCTCAGAAGCTGTAAGCCCAGTAGGAAGCTAATGGCTGTTAAGTGGCTGGGAGTTGACTTCTTTCTGAAGTAGCCGACAGCTCAACCCTTGACTTCTGGCTGGGGTCTGTGCCTTTAGGCCCACATCTACTAGTCTCCATGACAGGCCAGCAGATGCAGCTGCTCTGCACGCAGTTTGTGAGATCCCCTCTTTCTAAGTACCTGGTAGGCCGCATAGAGGAAGAGGTCTTGAATAGGTGTTGTCATGTCAGAGGTATCAGCTTTTGCCTAAACTCATCCTTCAGGCCTGCTTTTGTGGTGTTGCAGAACTGCTGGGCACATTGTGCACGGTGCTCCTACAGTTGTTTCTCTCCTTCTCCATGCTGGTTCTCTAAACTTCCCCTAAGAAGATGATTGATATGGGGAAGTCAGGAGAAGCCTGGCCAACAGAGATGTGAGATTTGTGGGAGGGCAAAGGAGCGTGGACAGCAGAAGGTGATGATTTTGCAGAGGTAAGAATGTTCAGGTAATGTTAATCCCGCCATAAAGCTGATTTAAAGCAGTCATGTGAGGCCCTTGTCCTATTTTAACCTGTAACGTTAATCCATAAAGCTAAATGCTACTTCACACCCTGACAGGAATCCTTTGCTCTAATATTTGACCACAAGATCCCTTGAAGCCAAAACTACTCCATAGCATCATTACATCACCCTTATTCTCTTCTTCACCGTGACCCCTGCCCTTAACACTATGATTAACACACTCTATTTAGCCCTAGACTTCTTGCAGACCTAAACAAAACCAAAGAACTTGCACGTACCCTAACCACAGACCTGACACCACAAGCCAAACACCAAACCCTTCCACTAAATATTTGATTAATCTCTATCACAGAAAGCTGAGCCCTAGTCCCTAACCTCATACATGGATGGCTAACAATCAAAGCCCTGATTCCTTTGCATTCACTTCTTCACATCCAACCCTTTTCCTAACCCTTATCTTAAGCACTTAAGGTGCTTGGCCCTTATCTGAAGCACTTAAGGTGCTTGGCCCATGATGCAGGGTAGGAACCATGAGGTTGCTCTGCAGTCACATGGCATACAAAGCTGATAGTGAGGGGCCATGGATCTGATCAGCCTGTGGGCCACAAAGAGGAGATAGACGGGAATTCTCTAAAGAGCTCAGCTCTGCCTCAGCATCTCCTGCCCCAGCAGCAGGAATGTGACTGTGACAGGGACTGTGAGGTCACTTCTGTCTCTGCACTTGATAGGGCAGCAGCAGGAACGTGTCACAGAAAGGGACTGGGAGGTCACTTCTGTCTGGAGGTGTCAGGTTACAGTTCTGTGTCTTGACATAGACCTGGGATCTGGACTTTTGGGCTGACATCTGTCAGTGGCCCTGCTAGGCCAGCAGAAGGCACCTGCTTGGCATGCTGACTGGGGGATCCCCTCTGCCTCCAGAGCCAGGAGGACCCAGGCAGAAAGAAGGCCCCAACATGGGTTGTCCTGTCCCTTCTGCCTGAGTCCATGAGTGGGCAGCAGGAGGCACAAGGCTTGGCTGTGTCTCCACAAGAAGCTGCAAGGCCAGCAGCAGGCCCCTGGCTTGGAAGATGCTGGTGAGTATCTATGATCAGACCCTAGCTTCGTTTTTCAAGGAACAGCTGGTGAGGGTTGATGAGACATTTGTGAAATGATGGAAATACTGGGATGAGAGCAAGGTGGTGAACAGAGATGGGTGTCTGCAGACTTCCAGGAAATAGGACGAAGCATGGGACAGCATATTTAAGCGTGCAGAGGAAAAGACAGAGGTTGCTGGTAAAAAGGGAAGGCCCCAACAGTCCTAATGCTTTGGCTAGGGCTTTTGAGAAAAAGAGATATAGTCATTGCAATGCAGCCTCTTTGCTTCCCTGCAACCCTGTGCAGAGGCAGGGTGGTGTCATACCAATTTTCCTCTCGTGGTATCACACTGCCCACCACATTCCTCAGACCCCCAAGAAAAGTCCTGAGGCAGACAGGGGGGTGCAGGATCTCTCCTCGCAGTGACTGGTTCAGGCCTTGGGCCTTGTCTTCACCAAAATCAACCAAGACTTTTCTCAGCAAAGTGCTTTGGTCATGTGCATGGTCTCCAATAATCTGTCCTAACAAGGCCCTGGGGAGGCCTTGTTAGTAACAGCCCTCAGTGGGGCCCATTAAGACTCCAAGTCACTTCAGCTTTTCCTTTTGCATTTGCTTTTTCGCACAGTTGCATCATTCTCCTCTCAGTACCCAAGTTTCATTGACTCAGCACCAAAATACTCCATGGAACTCATTAAAACACACAAACTCCTAAGCAGCCATATCTCTCCCACCATTTTCTTCAAGTCTTCAAGACTTGTTCAGCTAATTGTAGAGCTTTCATGTTCTAGTTAAGGGGGAAGATTTCAAGGAGCATCTAATAAAAGTCTTTCTTCATTTTAAAGGCTGAATTTTGTTGTGTTTCAGTTTAGAGCATCATTCTCCTGGTTATATTGGTGTACGGTTTCTCTTTTGAAGCCCTGTTTAGGTGGGAAGAACAGGGTTTTTCCTATTTCAAAATAAACAACAGAAATCATGCTGCAATTTAAAAAAAAAAAAAAAAAAGCTGAAGTTCAGATAATTGTAGAGCTTTCATTTTCTAGTTAAGGGGGAAGATTTCTAAGAGAATCTAATAATCTTTCCTCATTTCAAAGGCTGTTTCAGTTTAGAGCATCATTCTCCTGGTTATATTGGTCTAGGGTTTCTCCTTTGAAGCCTTGCTTAGGTGGGAAGAACAGGGGTTTTCCTATTTCAAAACAAACAACAGGAAATAATGCTGCAATTTTCAAAAAAACAAAACAAAACTCAAGTTCCTAATTTTGTTGCCTCCAGTGATGTTTACCTTCCCAAAAGAATGACTCTACATGATGTATTCTTCAGTGAGTAATAGGAAATTTACGATAATTGTGTTAATATTAATCCATATCATACTAATTCAATGATAAATGATGAGGGTCTTACTAAGGAAACCATTAGAAAGACTGCTGATAGATGGGTGAGCTTGAACTCACTGAAACTCAAAGAATCACGACCTTGCTTGACAAACCTGATCTCCTTCTACGACAAAGTGACGCGCTGGGTGGACGAGGGAAAGGTTGTGGATGTGGTCTACCTTGACTTCAGCAAGGCTTTTGACACCGTCTCCCACAGCATTCTCCTCAGGAAACTGGCTGCTCTTGGCTTGGACTGGTGCACGCTTCGTTGGGTTAAAAACTGGCTGGAAAGCCGGGACCAAAGAGTTGTGGTAAATGGAGTCAAGTCCAATTGGAGGCCAGTCACTAGTGGCGTCCCCCAGGGCTCGGTGCTGGGGCCGGTCCTCTTCAACATCTTCATCAATGATCTGCACAAGGGCATTGAGTGCACCCTCAGTAAGTTTGCAGATGACACCAAGTTAGGTGCGTGTGTCGATCTGCTCGAGGGTATGAAGGCTCTGCAGGAGGATCTGGATAGGCTACACCGATGGGCTGAGGTCAACTGCATGAAGTTTAACAAGGCCAAGTGCTGGGTCCTGCACCTGGGGCACAATAACCCCAAGCAGAGCTACAGGCTGGGAGATGAGTGGTTGGAGAGCTGCCAGGCAGAGAAGGACCTGGGAGTGATGGTGGAGAGTCGGCTGAATATGAGCCAGCAGTGTGCTCAGGTGGCCAAGAAGGCCAACGGCATCCTGGCTTGGATCAGAAACAGCGTGACCAGCAGGGCTAGGGAGGTGATCGTCCCCCTGGACTCGGCTCTGGTGAGGCCGCACCTCGACTACTCTGTTCAGTTTTGGGCCCCTCGCTACAAGAAGGACATTGAGGCGCTTGAGCGGGTCCAAAGAA